ATTGGCATTGGCCCCTTGGCATTGGTGAGCCATGGCAATTCTCCCCTAGGCAGGTCATAGGGCCTTCAAGGCCACCTGGACCACAGAGAAATTTGAGAACATGAGGCCCCTAGGCCTGGGCTGCCTTGCCCTCACCTAAGATGGCAACCAGTGTCACTTTTTCTATATATTTGGCAGAATAATTATTGTTACAATTTTAATTTTAAAACTTAAGACTTTAAAAATCACAAGCAGCATTACAACCTCATGGTTGACATGCCTGCGATCGCCAGCACAATCAACCCCCAAAGTCATCACTATCTCCAACATCAGGACATGACTGCACCCATTCCCTGCCAATTCCTACCCTTCAACTACTACGACACCTGCAGCCCTTTATAAATATGAGATGGCCCCAGAATCCAGCAGAAGCAGTCGGTGCCATCCATATGTCATTTCTGTCCCCTACCCTCAGCCTGCTCCACGCTTATTCCAGGATCATGTGACCCATAGCCCTCCCCTAAAGTACCCCTCCCCCCTCCCACCCGGAGGAGGGCAGCCCTACGGAAACTGTGGGCCTCACTGGGATAGCAGCCAGCCAGGGGAGCCAGAGGGGCAGGAGGGTGAATGACCCCCTCCTCAGACCTATCGCCCCACCCACCCAGCCGGCAGCCTGTCTGCCTTCCTGAGCTCATTAACTGCAGCTCACCGTTCAGCAGGAAAGACAAGGCGTGGGTTCTGCGGGCGTTCATTAACCGTGAGAGGAACAGTGTGTGTGAAATTAGCAGTCACCTGAGGACCTCGATAATTTCATAATTAGGAGGCCTAATGGCTCCAGCTCTGGATGCCAAATGACTTAACCCCTCGCCTGCTGGGCCCCCGACCCCCAGCCCAAGGCTGCATGGGAGAGCTAGGAGTACCCACTCTGCACAACCCCCTTCTCTAGAGCCAATCACATTCATTTCTGCCACCCCAGCACCCACTGCAGAGTTGGCACAAAGGGGGTATAAGGCAGTTTATAGAAGGAATGAATGCATGAATGAATGAACAGGTGTGTGGATGGGGAAAGAGCCCCTGATGCAGGTGCTCAAGGGGGGGGATACTCTGGAAAGGGGTGAGGAAGGGCTCCCCACGTGCATGAATAGGTGGGCGGCTGAGCACATGCCTCTCCCTGTGAGCACACATGCACGTGCGAGCGTGAGGGCACACACACGTGGGTCTGGGATGTTGTCTTCTAAGAACTGTGTGCGTGCCTATGTCCAAGCTGCCATCTGGGAGTGTGTTCTGCTGCCTCCTGTTTCTGTGATGGAACCCAGGTGCCTCCCTCAGTGCCAGCCTCTCTTGGTACCACCTGAGTAATGGTCGTTCCAGAATGTCTATATGGGGGAACTTGGGGGCACTCTTGGCCGGGAAAGGGTCCTAGGGAGCTTGCTTTGGACCTGCACTTGCACAGTAAGTGCACTGTTTTTACTTAGATTGAATATTTATTTGGGATTTTGAGAAACTAACACTGATAATGAGGGGCTACAGTTACACCCTAGCACAGGGAAAGCAGGTTAGGACGTCTCTGAAGACCCCCACCCCCCACACCTTTCTGTCTGTCCTCACCCCTCCCAACCTTCCAAGGGACCTAAGCAGGGGGAGGCTGAGGTTGTGGGAGGGGGCTGGTGTAAGCCTGAGGACAACGGGTTCTGAGCCTCCTGGACCCTGCCTAATTGTAGAGAGGAAGCTGGGAGGAGCTGAGGGGTGAGAGGGAAGGGTGTAGGGAGGGAAAGGGGCGATGAGAACAATAAAGGAGTAGAGAAGGGAAAGGGAGGGGCTGTGGAAGTAAGGGGAGGAGAAAGGATAGGAAGTCTGAAGGAGGTGAGAGAGGAGCTGTGGGGAGGGGAGGGAGGCTGAGAGCATTATCAGCACTTAAAAAGCGAGCAGCTCAGTTCTTCTTTGGCACAAATAATGGCTTTTTATGAATAAATCATGTGTCAGACACCTCCCAGGGAGTGGGCATGGAGGGGGGGGCGAGTCTGCTGGGCTCCAAGGCTGGTGGGGAAGGGCTAGAACCAGACCCGGCGGTAGGGGTATTGCTCCCTTTCTCCTGATGGGGCCCAGCAGGACTGAAGCTGTCTCGGGAACTATCACTGGCCTGAGCTGGGCTGAGCTCAGTCATTACTCTGAGGTGGTCTTGTGCTCCTTACCCAGGAGCTGCGCTGGATCCCAGGGGCTGGAGCATCCCGCTGCTCCCCTCCCCTCCGACAGACAGCAGAGCAGCCCGGAAGATGCTCCTGGCAGGGGAACACCAGCCTGGTGCTCCCGGGAGAGAGAGGGACTTGCCAAGACAGGCAGGCACGCCCAGAGGGGGAGGCATGCGGTGCGCACGTGGGGGCTTGGAGAGCAACTCACAGGCAGGCCCCCATAGCTCCCCACACGCATGCGGGCACACTCAGAGACAGACACATGGCATTCACACACAAATGCCCACCCGTGTGCATACCCGACATGGTAACCTCAACCACCGCCCAACTCGCTCCCTAACTGCCCAGCACGCTAACACCCAACACACACACACACACACACACACACACACACGCCCACACACAGGCGTTACATGGACACACACAGACCTGCACATGTACACCAGCAGCCCACCCTCAGGCAGCCTAGACTGGGCTCAGCTCTGCAGCCCAGATGGAGCCCAAAAGCAGCTGGGCCAGCACGAAAAGAATCTGGTTGTGGCCGGGGCTGGGGCATCTGTCCCAGGGGAAGGCCCATCAGTCTCTAAGTGCTGCCCACTCAGCAGGGACACCCCCATTCTACAGCAGAGAGGTCTCAGCCCCAAACCCTGAGCCTGAGCCTGTGCAGATCCTGCTGGCTCAGAGCTCCTTTGCTGCCCCCCTCACAGGCCCCTCCTCAGAGGCAGGGTACTGAAGGAGAGCCTGAGTTTTTAGGGCAGTGAGGGGCAGAGACCCTGGCTCAGCCCCTCACTAGTGGTGTGACCTCAGACAATGACTCCAATCTTAGTTTTTAATTTCTTTGTTTTGAGACAGGGTCTCACTCTGTATTCCAGGCTGGCCTCTAACTAGCCGCAATCCTCCTGCTTCAACTTCTCGAGTGCTGAGATTAAGATGTGTTCCGACAGGCCCAGCTTCATCTTAATTGTTCCTCAAACAAATCTACAAGACAGATGCTACGACCCCATCTTCCAGGCCGAGAAAGTGAGGCTCTGAGACAACAGCAAGGTCCTTTCTAGGACCTACTACATTCTTTCCCCAAACTTTAGGGCAACTCTGAGTCCTGGTTCCCCAGTTATTCCTTCTCAGCTGATGCATCCTTCTTCCCGTGCTGAAGGATTCTAAGGTGCTCATCAGGGCAGACCAGGGCTCTTGAGAGCTGGTCTGGAGGTTCTAGCAGGGGAGTTTAGCTACACATATACCCCTGACTGAGGAGTGAAGGAATGGAGGAACCAGTCCTCCTCTAACCAAGGTGGTCTTTTTACTCCACCCAGCGGCATCCTCGGGAGAGATACACGAGAGGCAGGGGAGGAAGGGGACACCCACTTAGCCAGCCAGATCGGCTGAATCAGCCCCTGCAATCAATGGGGTGACATGTCGAAGCCAGATTGCTCTCACATCCCGGACCTGGTTTCTTGATTCATCCCTGTTTGTCACACAACCCTATCCCAGGCCATTCCCAGCAGCCTGTGACCTTTGTGCTTCTGATCCTCTGACCTCCCTCTCCAGCTCAGACACCTTCTTAGGCTATCTGACCCCCTCTCCAGATGGACAGCTCCTGGCCACCATATTGCTCAATGCCAGAGAATGCCATTCACACCGTAGAAAGTCTCCAGAACTTCCCTCCCTGCTCCCAAACCCTAAGGATTCCCATAGGATGCAACTCAAATTCAGCCTGTCAAAAGCTGGGCAGACCATTTCCCCAGGGCTCCTCCTGCCTGTGTTCCGCATTTGCTCAACTACCCTGACTCCCCTTGCTTCTCGTGTCCAACCCATGTGACCCAAAATGCATGTGCACTCATCCTTCCAGCCCCACTGTCCTCTGCGCCCTGGCTTGTGCCACAGTCACCATCAGCACCTCTGGCCTGGCCCTGCCTCCCACTGTTGCCCCCTCTGGCCTGCTTGCCTCCCTGTCATCAGCAATCTTTCCACCTCTGGGCTTCAGCCACACTTCACTGCTGTGTTCTGGAATCCACATGCTTTCTTGACTCTGCACCTTTGAATGTGCCAATCCCTCTGTCTGAACCCTTCCCTTTCCAGTGGCGACTCATCCCTCAAGGCTTAGCTGATACAACACTGCTCCAGGGCGGACTCCTGGCTCACCGCTATTCTAACCCTTAATCGCCTACTTACCCATCCCTGCCCCCCACAAGTTTCTCAAGGGCAGAAACTGCTTACTCTGCTCTCTGCAGCAGTCCCTGTGCTGAGTATAAGAAGTGGCACTTAACAGGTGCTCACTCAACCTTCCTTGAATTGAGGAGTGCAGGGCTTGGGCTGAGTACTCTGCGTACCTTTTTGCATTTACTTGAGATGGGTGCTTATCAGTATACTATAGCACTGGCCAAGAAAATGGGCCACTGAGACTGAGGATGTGCCCAAGGTGATGACGCTGGTAAACAGGAGGGATGGATTCCAAGAAAAGTCTGCACCTTCGAAGGCTTTTCTTTCCCCCATCACCACTCCACCTTCCTGTTATTTTTCCTCTCTGCTCTTGTTTTCTCATCTTTACAATGGGCACAAAAAGCTGGGCACAGAAATATGCCCAATACAGGCCCTGGCACAAAGAGAGATTCTGTAAATACCAATGCTCCCTCTTCCAACTTCAAAGGCTTAATTCAGGATAGTTTCCCCAGACACAAAACTTCCTGCACGCACAGCAGACTGACCCCAGCGAACGCTGACATGCACCTAGACACAGTCAGAAGGGCAGACACTGGGACCCGGTCCCCCAATCCTCCTCCTGTCAATTATCCTCCTCTGCAGCTGCGCCCCCTTCAGCCCAAGGCACGGGAAATATTTAAAACAATTTTATTCATGAAAATATGCTGTACAATGCACTCTACACGGCCTCGACACGGCACACACGCACACGCACACGCTGACTGCACGGCCACGGTACACTGCCTACAATACGCGCCGGGGACGCCACGCCCACCGCCCGCCCCGACCGGACACTTATAAATATGGGAGAGAGGGGCCAGCACTGGCACGGAAAGGGGTGTTGAACTGGGGGGATCCGGAGCTGAAGCCCCCTGGAGAGGCTGAGTTCACCACTGGGGCTGTGATGGGACTGCTTGACCCGGGAAGGGGACGCTAGGGCCGGCTAGGCTGGGAGGGAGGCTGAACCGTGGGGGTGAGGGTCGCCAGAGGAGGTCGGGGCAGGGCTGGACTGCTCCGGGTGGATGGCCAACAGATGTGAGTTTTCGGAGGGTTGGTGGCTTTGGGCAGCGAGACTAAGATCGGTGCGGAAAGGTGTTTGTTGGGGATCACAGTTTGGGATTGGCTACACGTCCCCGTCACCACAAAGGCTGCGCAAATCAAAGTGAAGATTCAGAAACGCCCCTTGCCCCATCTCCTAGTTGGCTCCGTGATCAGCATCCACACCCAGACGGCCCCCTCGCTCTTACCCACTCTGACCCGGCCCGGATTTCAGTCGCCTTTCCCAGGCTTCCCGCCCAGGGAGGAGACGCAAGGCTCAGGAGTCCGGCAGGAACGGGGGCGCCCCAGTCCCACCCTCCCACGCCCCGCTGTTGTCAACTTCTGAGGGACGGCTGGGGCTGCCTCCGGGATCCTCCCGCGGACTGGATCGGGGATGGGGACCCGGGGATCAGGGTGGGAAGACAGAGGCCCCTTGGGGACGGGACCCAGGTACCCGGGCCGCAGGTGGCAGCCCTCAACCCGGCACCCAGCTCTGGTTAGGAGGCGGGGCCCCGGCCAGGCCGGGCGGCGGCGGAGGCAGGGCTGAGTCGAAGTTGAAGTCCATTTCGTCGCTGTCCATGAAGTCATTGAGGATGATGGACTCGACGTCGCACTCAAGGCTCCCGCTGAACATGTCTAGGTCCAGGTCCGCGGGGAAGCGGTCGGGCGCGGCACCCAGCGGCCCGGCGGCGGCGTAAGGCCCGGGCAGCGCGTCCAGC